TTCCAACCTAAATGATTCTATGAATTTCTTTAAGACCAGTGGAGACCTGAGCTCCTCCAGCAGCAGCAAATCTCTTCATGTTAGTAACTTTTCTTCGTACATTATAGTCCATCAGGCATAGATTGTGGACATTTGAACTAAAGACAAGTGGAAAGAGCTATTCACATCTGAGGAGCAAACAAGGGTCTCCTTGATCAAACAAACATCATGAGAACACAGTTTGTAGAGGTTTTAAAGAGCAGACAAGGTATTTTCTTCATAAATGTTTGACTCAATTGTGTGGACACATATATAAATATATGTAATAAGTTTATGCTCTCTTTAACATAAACACATTTTCATCCAGGATGTTTCGTGTCCATAATATCATATAGCCCCATAATATTGTCCTTCCTTGGACCACAAAACCCTTCATCATTCTGAGGCACAACCTCTCATGTACACATTGGAAAACTGAGGCAGAGAGATGCATCTCTGCATAGCTTTTGCATCTCCTGAGTCCTAGCCATTTATTTTTAAACTGAGATTGTCATTACTCTATGGAGAGAAAGAACCAAAAAGAGATTTCCAGTGGGAATGTGTCATTTTGACTGCTTACCTAACCTAGGAGATGTTATTGTGTTAACATTGATTTTCTCATTGCAGGGGTGGAGATGACAGGGTCTGTAGGCGGCTGGCTTTTCTGAGGAAAAGCACTCATTGCCATGCCTTCCCGTGATCTTGTGCATGCACTGGATGACTCGGGACTGCATCCCTTTGCCACAGGTGACGGAACACTAGAACACACAGAAGATCCACACTCATTAGAAAGAAACATGAAGGTGAAATGCCAGTCCAGGTTAAGTCAGTGGCTGCTCCTTCAGCTGTCAGCATTCCAAGATCGTTTGCTTCCATTCCATTAGCTAAATTAAAATAAATTTTAAAAGCACAAATAAATTGTCAGTACTTACTGAAGGACTGATTCCAGCATCCTGTCGCTGTCAAGGTCCATTTTGTAAAGCCTGTGATGAAAGTAAACTGCAGCAAAGTGCCTGAAGGGAGCAAGGGCTGCTCTCCTCTATCTGTATCATAACTTAGCAAAAGTGATGGAAAAAAAGAAAATTCTCACAGATGCTGACAGAGTGAAGCATTTTTAATTAATTTATTACTCCTGCCGATGCAAATGTGCTCTTCCTGCTG